ATTTTTTAAAAAAATATGTGCAAAAAAATAAGACCATAATAAAATTTCCCTCCATTTTTAATATTTAAACAGTTTTTTTTAAAGCCTAATGTCTAAACAATTATCATACGAGTTATTAGTGTTGATAAAGGATGATCTTTTAAAGGGAATCAGTCAAAGAATGATTGCGATAAAAAGGGGTGTAAGTAAGACTGCTGTCTCAAATGTTAAATTTAAAATAGATAAAAACATCCCAATTACACGTAAATATGGATCAAGGAGGCCTGAAAAGCTAAATAATGATTTAAAACTTAAATTTTTTAAGATTTATGATAAAAATCATAGATTAAGTTTAATGGATATTACAAAAATTTTTTGTAATAACTTTAAAATTGAAATTTCCAGGTTTACTGTAGCAAGAATTCTAAAGAATTTTAGTTTAATAACTAAAAAACTTGCTAAAAAACTACTATTGAGACCATGAAACATAGTTAAAAAATTTGATTCTTCAAAAAAATTTTTAGGTATTTAAAATGAAACTTTGAATACCATTATTTTTTCTGATGAGTGAAAATTTAACTTATTTATTAGTGATGGAATCCAATACGTGTGTTTTTTACCAGGTGAAAGGTATAAATCTTAGAATACTGTTGCTACAGTAAAACATGGAGGTGGATGTCTTATGTTTTAGGGTTGTATTTCCTCGTAGGGTGTTGGGAGACTTATTGAAATAGAATCAACTATAATAGCAGTAACTTAAAAGCAGATTTTAGCACAGAATATATTACCATCTGCACGTGAAATGGGACTTGATGAATTTATATTCATGCAAGATAATGACCCAAAACATACTGCAAGACTTGTTGAAGAATGGTTTGATGAAAATGACATTGATGTTTTAGAATGGCCTCCACTGAGTCCAGATCTAAATCTCATTGAAGTAGGGAGGGGTTATATTAAGTGTAGGTTAGCAAAAATGGGTAAGTTAAAAAAATTCGAATTGAGAGAGAAAATTAAAGATATTTGGTATTCAATCCCTCAAGTTCTAATAGCTAAGTATGTTAAAAGCTTTTATAAACGTGTATTAGAAGTTTTTAAAGTAAAAGATAATATTACCAAGTATTAAATTTATTGTGGTCTTATTTTTTTGCACATATTTTTTTAAAAAAATTTTCTATACTTGCACAAAAAACACAAGAGTATAAAATATTTTAAAATTTATTTCTATAATTTTAAATTAATGTATACTGTCAAAGAAAAATTTTTTAATCGTGAAAAAAGTGTGGTTTTGTGAATGATTTTTTAAGTGGTCTTACTTTTTTGCTCAATACTGTATATATTTCAAAGAATTAATTATACTTTTAAATGATAATGATACATTTTTGTCTAAAATGATAGTGTGAGATGTGCTAAACCAAGGACGAGTGGTAATGTATATATTGTAAAGGGCCCACAGTCCTAAGGACGAGAAGAAAGAATATTGTAATAGCTTCCTCTTTCGTTGCAGACCTTGCAATAAAGAGTGATCTTTCTTTAAAAATACATTCTTTTTCTATTAAAAGAAAGGTAAAAACAGGTTGAAATACCGGTTTAAAAGATAGTAAAACGCGTCTTTTGTTATTTTAAAGATCAGCCTTATCATGAGATGAAACCGAATTAGGTATAACAGGAGATAAGACAATTGTCAACTGAACCAATTATATTAGAGAAGTAACTCATTGGGTTATCACATCTAAATAAATAGGGCGAGGGATATATAATTCAAATAGATGAAGTATAATTAAGCGGTCATCGAAAGAAAAATATCGGAAAACTTTTTATGATTGAACTCAAATCTTAACAAGAGAAATAATTATGATGGCGAAGTTCAAGATCCTTCTTTAGGTGTTCGGGTTTATTGATAAAAAAACTCGTGATGTTTACATACAAGTTGTAAACATAAGGACGCAGAAACGCACATTTCTATTTTAAAAGAGCATAATCTCTCCCACTCAATCATTCATATAAACTGTTAAATGGCTTATGGTAGGGTCAATGAAAACTTTAAAGAACACTTTACAGTGAATCATTCAAAATTTTTTATTGATCCAGAAACTTAATACTTTACCCAACTAATTGAGAGTGTAAGGGGAAATAACAAATTATCTATTATACAAATCAGAGGGGAAACTGTATTAGAATTATTACAAAGTCATCTCTCTTTCTTATGTTCCTG